ATTCAACAAAGTGGTTGCAGATGACAAAATACTTCCACACAAACGTAAATGCAAAGTTACACTGGCATCACTGGATCATACTACAGAGAATCAAATCGACCATATCTGTATCGTTCCACCATCTGGTGGTTTTCAAAATGAAATTAAAGCTAAATAAGTACTACAAAACTGGGGGAACGGTGTCACAAAGGTTCAAAACAGCCCTCCTTCTGCCCACTGACGAACTCAACGAATTCGAGACACCTCTCATGAACAAGTATTAAGCCTGACGGGATCTACTCAAAGAAGAAACCACTATGGAGGACAACTGAAAAGGGATCAAAGAAGCACTAGCTTCAACGTATCAAGAGGTTCCGTGTCACAAGAAGCATCATCGCAAGAAATGGATCTCTATGGAAATCCTGGACAAGACTTAAAAAGGAACGAAGGAGAAGACAGCAACCAACAACTACCGAACCAGAACTGAGAAAGTCAAGTTACAAGCTGAATACGCAGAAGCAAACAAACAAGTGAAGAAGAGCACTATAACTGACAAATATGTGGAAGAGCTAGCAACAATAGCGGAAGAAGCTGCAAGAGAAGGGAATATGAAACAGCTATATGACACAACGAAAACACCACCAGGGAATTCGGAAGACCCAAGAGTTCGGCCGAGGACAAAGAGGGCTAACCAATCACTGAGATTCAAGAACAGGGGAACAAACTGATAGAATAGTTCTAGGAACTCTTGAATAGACTAGCTCCACTGAAGCTACCAGACGCCAAAGCAGCACCTACAGACCTTCCGATTAGGCAGACATCCAGCTTCTAAATCATCTGGTTGGATCATGAGGACCTACACATATCAAAAGAAACATGAAATACAATTGACAGATTGAACGATTTGAACTTCGCACATGACATGAACCTTCTATTCAATACACACGAACAATTACAGATAAAAAAACCAATGCAATGGCAACCTCTGCTTCAGTATGCTTCAACATACACAAGAAAAAAAACAAGATCCCCAAATAAAACACAAACAACACCAACACAATTACATTTGATAGAGAAGCTGTGGAAGATGTGAGTCTTTCATGAGCGTGTAAAGCATCATCGATGGACAAGGAAGGTCCCATGCAGATGTAAATGCAAGAATTAGCAAAACGATAACGGCATTCCGACAACTGAATAACACATGGAAATCGAAACAACTGTCCGCAAACCAACATAGAAGCCAGAATCCTCGATACGAGCAACAAGACAGTTCTACAGTACGGGGCTGAATTTTGGGGGACTTTTATAACCATTGTCGAAAAGGTACAAGTATGAAATACTAAATGTCCATTGACCGAATACCTTCATCACCAGCTTGCTGTGGAAGAGAACAAACTAACTTCGAGATGAAGAGGATAAGACATACGTTACGGAAAACTTCAAACTGCATCACGAGGCAAGCGCTAACTTGGAAATCTAAGGAAAAATGGTAGAGAGGAAGACGCAAGAATATATGGCGCCCGGAATTGAGGGCAGACATGAAAAGGATGAATAGTAACTGGAAAGAACTGGAAAGGATCGCCCAGGTTAGATTTGGTTGGAGAATACCTGAGTGCAGCCTATGCTCTTTCATGAGAGGTGACAGGAATAAGAAAGCAATTTAGAGCATAGTCAGAGTCCAGGGAAGTGCTTCAGAGCGAGTTGTACGCAACAAAAACAGGGAGGCTGAAGATAACGTGATCACTTTGAGTCCACACTTTGGGTGGAAAGAGATGATGACTGCACCGTTAGTTAGTGATAGCCAGGAACAAGTTGCAGTCTGCGCAGTTTCAGTAGACGGTTGCCACTACTTGATCTACCACCAGCAAGTTCTTGTTTGCCGCCCGTACGACTTCTCCTAGTGCCACGTTGCCCAGTTTGTAGGTTTTTCATGGTGGTAGGTACCCTCTATTCTATTGACAGAATAAAAGAAATTAGTAGCGGATACGTTCTTATTTTCTCATGGGTGGCACACAGTCGAGCGCGAGGCTACCTGTTCAAACACACAAAGATTTTGACATTCAATATAAGAAAATAAGAAATATGATCCTACACAAAATAAGAAAGTGAACAAGTACTCGGACTCTGTTGTTTCGATATATATTTAGATGTGTGGAGGTATGTTCTGAGTTCGTAATTAGTGCTGCTATGATGATAAACTTAATCCTAAAATTGTGGATTCGACGTGATATGTCTATATAATCTGTGATGGTAGTCTCATCATTGACAAACCTGACTCATATCGTAGGAATTAGCAGTATGACGTCTGGCGCTCTTGGAGAATACATTTGTGCTTAAGATAGAATAATGTATTCCATATGAATAAAGACAATTTTCACAGAATGATCACGTCTGCGAGGCTGAGCCATGCCATCTGACTAGATGAATGAATAACCCCGAGTACACCACTGTGTGTCTTCTTTCCGTGTTAAAAGTTGAATATCTATATTCCCAGTTACGTCATATTCAGCTTTGTGAATTGTGTGGTTAAGGCTAATACCATTACAGATGTTTAGATGGTAGTTGGAGGTAGTCAACAGGAAACCCTGGACCCGGGTTTCGTGCTACTTGGCACTCGTCAGCAAGGTGTACCTGTAATCTTGAGGGAACTGGTGCTCCCTGGAGGATTCGATCTCGTGTCACCCAGCTTCACAGTCAGAGACGTTGCCACTGAGCTATCCAAGCCGTGACTAACCTCCTGTAGGACTGAGATGTAATCACAATTGATTGATCACTGGGTGGTGATCAATGTCATGCTTGTCTAGTCCTTATTACAGATGTTTAAGGTCAACTCTTATCTAATCAACCCCAAGTTGTTACAGGTTTTCATTATCTGTCGAATTACTGGTGGCAAAAATCATCCTTAGTGGGATCTGAACTACAATCTATCAATGGGTAAGCGGAAATAACGTCAAGACATCGTTTATCGCACCGTTTTCCTTCTACCTGGGTTGAGCTTTCTAATCTAGCAACAGTCCGTGACAGTTAGCTGGGGGTGAAGTCCCTTAGCGCTCTTGAAGCTCTAACACTTACTGCTACGCCAACTACAGAGAAACCAGATAATGATGTCATTACGTACGGGGATAAATGTACGCGAATGAAGCCCTTAGCTGCGGTAGATGGAGAGAAAATATTTGGCACTTCATTAGAGTCTTGAATACGGGTCTTAGATAGACAACAGATATTGATTTTGAGATATAGATACTTTTCTCCTTGTTCGATCTACATTGGTGTGCAAACATCGAATTAAGCCTATTGGAATGGGATATATGGTTTCGTTTATTCCGGTTCACAGTTTGTATTCGTTCGTAACACGCCCACTACTGACCAGTAGGTTACTTGACATCATTTCAATAGGACAGGATTTCCACCATAGGTGACCTGCTACATGAATTGAAAAATAGAGGCATACACAAATGATAGTTAAAGGGAACAGATGAATGACCCTATGTAAAATATAAATTATTATTACCAAATATTTATAAATACAGTTTGTGACAGTGTGAATTAAAACAAGAGTATATTTTCAGTTCTGGTTAGATGAATTGCTTATCGACCGGGATACTACCCGAGTGTCCAAGCAGAAGCAGATGGTTTTGTTAGGAGGCTAATACCGGAGTTTTCGAACAAGAGCCATAATGCAAAACGTAACGGAACAACGTTAAGTGATGAAGTCACCTGGTAGCCGATGGTCAAGAATAAATTCATATAGATAAATCCATCAACAAGCATTCACCAATGAAGTTCACTAGTTTAGACTGGGGGAAGAAAAATGACTCCAAATAACAAATTTGTTGTTCACGGAGAGCTAAAATTAGTAATATACACAAGTCTATTATAATAAATTTTCTATTCTCATATCGATGTTTTGAACATATTGATATTATTCTTTGTTAGTTTAACAAGCCACTGCTTACGCGAATGCAAACTGGTTATTAAAAATCATGAAATAAATTTTCGTCTGTGTATAGAAAAATGTTTACTGTTACTGGACAAAAATGAAACGCTTTATACCAGATCAAAGTGCTGCGGTGGACTGGGAAATCCCATCTAGTCTGGGAAACTATCTTAGTGGTACTTAGGTACGATGGATTTGTTGCTTGTACATTCTTGGCCAGCAAAGTTTGAAAATCTTAATAATGACAAGAGTTGGCATTGGGGTGTGAGGCTTACTAGCCACTCACTACTAGCATCTCTCCAGTGATAATCGAGGGATCTATGTGAGAACTGCCGATCACAACTCGGCGCATTCACGTGAGACATGTGTCTTGTTCTGGATGGTTAGGTTCATAGTCTCACATTCGTCTACTTATGCCTCATATCACGGTCCATATTTTTCCCAAATTTCAGAAGATGCCGTGTTTAATTGGCTGGTTTAGGGTTTAGTGTAACACAAAGTTTCAAAGAGATGAACCTGGAAACTGTTAATTAGGTTAAAAATAAAAGTATAAGAATGGGCAAGTTTAATATCTATCAAGAGTTTCTCAGTAGACTGACCTAACTCCACACATGAATAGACCCAATCACCTGTGCCGGTTTTATCAAGATAATACACTGTTAGACAGTCAAGAATTAACAATTTGATACCAAAATGCTAAATAATAAGGGGTTAGTTGGAGTATATGCTTCAAATACACACTGGCAACAGTGGAAAAACCAGAACACATTGTACAGGGTTTGCAGGTTTACAGGAAATCCTCAATAAGTAGTGTGACAAATGAACTATTCTGAAACAGTCATTAACTGAAAATTCATTGGCTGGAACTTTAGGACTATCAAACAACACTTAATTTTGAGTGTCACGATTATATTTCACATAACCGTTGTATGAATACTTTCCTCAAATCTGTAGTTTTAGATTAAATTTTTCAGTTCACGAATACGAAAATTTCTAAACTCCAAAAAATCCCTAGCTGTCAGATGAATATTTATACGAGCATACCTAAATATAGAGGCATCTACTGTTTATTTGTTTGAACCTATTGGTGTGCTTTTCAAATGTTTTATACGTCTTCGCGGTATGAGCTCGAAATTGGACGATTGTAATGATTATTTTTTAAGAACTTGATACACAATTCATAGATGCATCGTTCATGAAAACTTCGGGATATTCGAAAACGATTCCGCAGCCTGAGAGGTAAAACATGTCTCTCAGTTTGCCATAAACATGATGTTTTCCTTAGGATAAAAAGCGATGTGATTTATTGTCGTATATGCTTGGGGTCCAGTGACTTTGAGGAACTGATAAGTCCTTGCTATTGTGCAGGTAATAAAATAAATATCTTTTCTTCATTTCACGAAGGTAATAGGAACAATTGGAATTGTTCATCAACAGTGTTTAGAGAAGTGGTTAAACTTGTCTCGATCGAAAGCCTGTGAAATTTGCGGTTTCACTTTTGAAGTTTTAAAACATTATCCCCACTTTTGTAAGGTCTGTTTCTTATTTAACTATGTCGATGAATTTTCACTTACAATGTGTTTATTTCATAGAATACAATATATTTCCACAATCCAAGTGTACCAAATATTCGGCTTACTATCTCTATTTAAAACACTAAAAGGCAATATTTGACATGCAAGAAGGGTGAAGTCTGGTTGTTAGATGGGTTTCATATGTTTTTACAGTTGAAAAGCGTCGGATATTACTTCACTTACTAGTTCTAATAATTCAGTCCATAAACTCTGCTGCTAAAGCAGTCATTACTGTCCGGTTTGTCGGTACTACCCAAAAGTTGGTCTTGTATAATCAACATATAGCTCAGATGACCTGATATACGTTGTGAACTCCCTTTTACATCGTGAGAAATATGTTTTATTTAAGTGGAAATTAGTATTGTTTGCTTGCAAAAATTGTTCCTGAGCACATTTGTATCACCAGTTACGGGTAGAAATCATCACATGTAGAGCACTACCCAATTACTCGGTGAATCACAAAATGTTTTTCCATCTTGGAAACAGCTCTTTTTCACGGACCTCGAAAACTGAATCATAATACAGTTTGGTCTTTAGTTTTTATTTGAAGGTGTCCATTTTATTATTTTAGTAAGAATGGTTTTGTTTAAAAATGCAGTCTATCAACTGCACCATTGATGCTATTAATGAACATTCGGTAATGCATTTATTAAAACTGACATTCATAGATTGATCCTCAAGGTACTGTAGTAGATACGGATAGACCACTATGCGAAGAATAAAAAAAGTTAAATGTACTGTATACAAATTATGAACAGAACGAGTATCGATCTAAAAATCATTCACTACTTATATAACCGTTGCATTATTTTATGATAACTAGAACAAGTACTAAGAGAAGGCATTTAAAAGTCATGGAGCCTTATTCTTGCCTGAGGACAGTTGAACAATATCTGTAGACGTTGTATAGCCAACATACTCACAATGTTGTGACGTTTGAATGAACTTATGATTCCCTTGTACTTGTTGAATGCTTGGTTTCGAATTTTAAATACAGTACATTCGTTTGTGGTTATCTAATATTTCTTGATCCGATTACATTATTTCTGGGATTCTAAGTTCATACTATAATCCAAATACCCCTAATCATTCTAAATGTACGTGACATAAGTCATTTATTGTTATTGGTTTGGAACAATTATGTATTCCTTCACACAATGGTGCTACATTTTAAAACAAAATTTGCATAATCTAGATACGAAGCCCAATTTGCTTATTCACTTGATATCAAAACATTAGCTATTTTTTGTTTAACAACGACGTATTATGGTAATTCTACAAAGTAAAACTATCAAATAAAAATGAAGAACTCATCTATGAAAGTTTTGTTCATTATCATTAGTTCATTTAAAGAACACTAAAAAGATAATTTTCAACTATCTATTTCAACTTTTCGTTTTTTTTAAAACCTGGGGAGAGTTGTAAGCATTTATTGCAGCTTTCAATCTATTAAAGGAAAATATTTAGAGTGACTCAAAAGAGTATTCAGTAATCGCTACTTGAAATGGTGGATATTAAGAAAAACCTGAATATAAAGAGCAATTTAGTTGTTATTTGGTCTTAAGATCGTCTTATTTTTGATCCTCAAAGTATTAAGTTAAGTTGCGTTATGAAATGCATTCCTTCTCATAGAAGAGAATAAGAAAGTATTATGGCAAAACTCTATTGTTTGTTTTTACATTCTTATATTGAATATTTAAATAGTGGTTTTTGGATTCTGTGAGCTTGAAAATTACTAGATATATGATGGTTGTAGTTATAGAGATACAAGAGTAAATGCCGCTACACAGCCAGGTCAACAACAACGTCTGAACTGTCTATCTAAACAACAAGAGTTAAAGTCTAATGACTGATTTTTGGAATTAAAGATGTGTTGGTTATTCAAGGTTTTATGTTATCTTCTAATTTCCTAAACTTTTCACTCAAGAAACAATATGATCCTTAGAATACTGAATAAAAGGAGTCCATTGTTAACTTGATGTACAAAATGGTCTGTTTGTATCGGGTTCATTATGTCTAAGAAATGCTTTAGATAGACCGTTATAATTAACTTTGTGTCTCTCAATTTGTTTGGAAATGAAACTCAGTATTGTCATTAAAAAACTAAACAATACAGATTTTATTCATCTTTGTTAAATTAGTGGTTATGGATGGGAGGGAAAGGAGATGGGATACATCGTCGCAGATATTTATGGACAGATTTAATTTGCCTGCTAATAATGGTACCTTTGCTCACATTGTGCGCTTGGTTGGCGATTTCTTCGAATCAGGATGAAAAAAGTGCTAATTCAAGAAGGTTTCCATGGCAGTCCTTTTTTCTTGGATTATTATGCAGCCTTCTTCTTTTAGTATTTAATATTTGGTTAATGGTGAGTATTGAACTTATCGTGATCAACGAAATTCGAATAACATAAGACAAAGTGATCTAAACTAATTTGTTTGATCAAAAATATGATTAAAATTTAATGTGCGCTTTGATAGTTATACATAAAATACAATACCGCAAAACCACTAAATCAATGTCTTTGAAAGTTTCTCATCTTTTTCAAAACCCCTTTGGATTCTGTAGAACGTAAAGTCTGTAAAGTTCTTATTGGTAGTCTCTAAAAGCTAAAGATAAATCTGTAAGATGCACGAAAGTGTTGTTGTGTTGCTTTAAAGCTTTTTGAAACTTCGAGGTCATTGCTTCAATGTGTTTTTGGGTTCATAAACCCCAAGTAAGTACTGAATTAATTTATCCTGAAAAGCAATCAACAGTCAATTTAAAACAATTTTACTGAAAGTCGCTGACTTTTCATATCAGATTTTTGTTGGTTACTAACAAACATGAATTTTATAGTTCATTAGGATATCAGAAAAGGATGAGTAGATTTTTATTCGGCTTAAAAACTGTCAGAACATGTATAAATTCGTCACAGGGATTAAATACTACCCAAAAATAATTTTAGTGATATTTGGAAATAGCTAGAGAAGTCGATATTCAACTCTTCTGTCTTCATAAATCTATCACGTTTAGAAAATAGTCTCAATGATTTTTAATAACCATTTCTAATGTAACTGATTAAACTGCCGTTGGAGACATTCAACAGAAGTTCAATTTTGTTGAAAGATTTGATCAAAATGAAATAGCTTCTAGGTTGGCTGTTATAGAAATTTATTTCAAAACTGTTCTAACTACGGTTCAAGATAAAAAAAACTACTAGCACAAGTTAAGTAACATAAAACAGTTTTATGCCCCAACTATTTCTCGAATAATGTATCAAAGGGTTCATCCAATGTTATTTTTCGAACTTTGTGGATTCGTTAGGAAGTCTGTATTCCTTTTCGTATAATCAAGTGAACACTTGTGTTTTCCATTTATAAATCATTTAGGTATAAGTATGTTCCTGTGCTTTTAATGATATTTTTTAATTGAAGTACTTCCTGTTAACTTCATAAATCATTAAGGTACATATGTTAAACAAACTTGAATTTCCTAGAAACATACTTTAAAATTTTTTAAGTAGCATTAGTGACTTCTCTTGTGTTTGCCACACATGCTTTATCAACTTGTGAATATTTGTAATTTATTAGGAAACTAAAAAGCTATTTTTATAAAATACAAAACTTCTAGTTTTCTCTTCGATATCATCATCAATCATGGAAACTTTGGCGTAAAGAACAGACTTATATTGTTTTATCAGAAACTGTTAAAAGAAAAAAGGTTATGAACATAAAAGGTGATTCACAAAATCCAAATTTAATTATCCAGAATAATAAACAAGAACAAAATCAACAATTAAGGAGACTAGATATGCCTGAGTCAAATGAAACAAGTATGAAACCAAACAAGGTAAGTCGTATAAAATTAGTTTAGTTGAAAATAGCATGAATGAGTATTTTCGATTTTATTTGCTTCTATAAAAACGCTTTTCAGTTTTTACAAGAATCGTTACATTAATTCATACACCTAATTAGGTAATTTACTAGATCTTCGAAACATGTCTGTAAGTTCAGTTTTGAGTACTTTTTTGATTAGCTTATGATTAATCATAGTACATTAAACACCCATTAACTAGCAGGGATATGACTCATTTTTTCATGAACCCACAGTTGGGTGGTTTGACGACAGAAAAAATTATACCAGATTTCTTATATGAATTTGCTAGGCTTGAGGATTTTATTGTGAATAGTTTAGATGTGTTAGTCTATCATTATTCAAGTGAAGCATAGACCATCTAGTTAGACAACTTGTTCTAGTACTACTCTTTTTTTCTGAAACTTCAATAAAGCTTACTGGTAGAGACTTGGATTACAAAGTGAATCGCATAATGACGGCCTGTACAAAGCTACTAGTATATAGGTCAGTCAAACTTTTACAAAAGCTTGGTAAGCATAAAGAATAATAAAGTTCATTTAAGCGATCAATTACAGTTACGGGTCAATAACTTTTGTGATCTCGATAAAACTTTTTATCATTTACTTTACTTATAAGTAAAGTGTCATGGTGCGTACAATATGTCCTGTTTATTTCATATCAAGAAATCATCAAATATAGTCTGAAATGACTCTCTTTATGGTATTTTTATAAAGTTTCATAAATAAGTATCATAGTAGAATTAATAAAATACTTTTAATGTAACTTAATCATTACATGAAAAATTGGATTAAACAATAATAACTGATCATCGTACACAGAATCTTGATTATAGCTAATTCAGTCCGAATGATACTATGTTCAATTGAGAGACTGTAGTTAGATCATAATGAAGGGTCGAAAACTAGAACGCAACAATAATCCAAGTGATGTCCTGGTTAAATCAATCGATGATGAATAGTACAATTTGATTTTCATCAAAAGAATTGTGATCAGATGTAATAAATTCTATTTATTTAAACTGCTATCCTAAAAGCGCATCAAACTGGTAACGTAAAAACTTATATTTCTAAAGTAACCGGTTCCCTTTCACCATTAAACTATCCAGAGGTTATTAAACAAGATAACGAATTCATAATTGACTGAGAAAGAAATCGTAAAATCTGTCATAAAAAATTAAATGATTTATAGTTTACAATTCATAGTCTAACTGTTAAATCTTCCTTCAGTGTTTTCTATCCACTGCTTTCTGGGTTTAGCCTAAGGAAAACATAGTAAATACAATTTTATGTTAACAATAATAGTAAAAAAATATATGTGTCCAAAATACTCGGTAAACATGAGTCTAAAATAAATACACTAAATTCAGTAAGTGTTAACAGTGTGACCACAAAAAGTATAGGACTCGAATTATTCACTTATTTTACTAAATAAGTGTCATGTAGAGCCGAACATTAAGGCGCAACTAACGATAAATTTAAATTCCTTGACCTTTTACTAATTTCGTTATTTGTTATTATTATTAAGAAAGAAGTTAGTTATTTAAACTTCATTGGATTTGAAACGAAACAGTTATATTTTGCCTAATGTACATCATCATAACACTTTGGACTTTGTATGTTACCACAGCAAACGTCTCTGTATTCCTTTTTTAGTAGGTGCTATTTTACTTCCATCCATTAAATCATGTGATTCTCTATGTCTTTATTTAAATAGATTTAACTACTGAAGATTAGTAGAGAAATAAGTCAGGTAAACCGTATTTAATTATAGAATAATCGTATAATGTCAAGAAATTATAAAAGTAAGCCTATATATAGATTTTCTAGATTAATTTGAAACACTCGGCACTTATTTGAATGAGCTTCAATACCACAAACCTAATATTAACCGGTGCATTCGATTTTATCAGCTTGAAGGATTCAACCAAGAAGAAATTTATAGTATCATATAAATCATCATTCGTTGATAATATTACATGTATAATTAAATATAAATTTGAAAAATATGAACATAGCAAGTGATAAAATTTTGTTTTGCATATTGTGGGTATAGAGAATTATGTGTTTGTTAACACGTCCAATAAAAATGGGGATAATATAATATTGTAAGCACAATAAAATTATAAATGTTTAACCTACGTAGAACTGCGACCGATGAAATAATTAAATGATAAGTATAATCGAGATATATTTGATCACATTTAATATGAATAAAGATGGTGGATGATGTTATGATATATTTTTACTAAGTTAATTTATGTTAGTCTGACAGTGTCTAATAAGGTGTACATTGTTGCGTAATTAAAAATTGGTTAGATAAGTAGGTTTTTACTAACTTAATTTAGAATGTGTAATAGTGATAGCTTCCGTTATCAATCTATCATTTAGCAATTAACTGGATTGGAGTGATGTTTATTAGGCTCCTCTTTTTTCGCATAATTGAAAAACTATATTTTTCCTACAATATTAACTAGACTCTTAGAGAGGAAAAATGTATTTGTAAAATCTCAGCGAATGAGTTTTGAAGTAAATTCAACGTTTCGCCTGCGAATCTGGTCAAAGCTTTTTTCAAGGAAATATATATATATATATATATATTCGATAATTTTGATGTTTGATTATATTTCCTTGAAAAAGCTTGGACGAGATTGTCAAGCGAAATGTTGGATTTACTTCAACTTCTTTCGCTGAGACTTTACAAATACATTTTTCCTCTTTAATGTCTCACATTAACTCGGCGCCCAAATACTGTGAAACTATTCGATCAAATTTAGACGAAAGTTCTTATTTAGACTCTTATATAATAAAGTCTTAACAACGTGACCACTGAATGGATGAATTATCAGAAAATTATTTCATATTGATTATCGTTACATCTTTGGTTAGGGGTCAGTTATTATCAATTGTTTAATGCATTTAGTCATTTGCTAAAAGTGGTATTGAATGACAAAACACTATGTCACAAAATGATTAATGTTGGAAATCTGAGCAACTTAATTCGAAATCACTTGTTCAAATGTGATGAGCTCACTTTGAAACTTAATAGTCCCAAGTTCAATACATGGTGGGATTGTGAGCATGCATCGGTGAGCGATCACATACTAAAAAATAACAATCCAGTGTTCCCTAATTCTCAGTGATCCTTTAACGTATGTCAATGTATGACAAAAATTAACTTGTTACAAATTAGAGCTAATGTATTTCCTTTAGAAAACTAATAACAATAAATCTTCCCTTCTCAAGAGTGAAATTAGAGTGGTCTCATATGAATTATATATTACTTTGTTCCCATTGTAGTCATATGCTCCTATTCGTCTAAAGAAGTTTATTATATATCTATAATGTTTCGAAATGCAATAACGAAAACTTTAACTTAATTTGAATACTTGATAAATCATCGTTTTATGAGTTTATCTATTAGCATTTGAAGGTATTGAGTACTTTATTCTTTTTTCATACACATAGTTCCCTTTATCATTTTGAAAAGAGCAAGAACAAAGATTCTAGTAGAAAAGCATAAACCTACAAAATAAAATGAATTCATACTTTATTCTTGATATATTCTGAAAGTAAAGTTAGAAAATTACTTTTATTCCTATTCACTTTAATTATTTTAACATTTATTTGAAAAGTCTAGTTTACATAATTTATACATGTAAGAGCGGGTTTACAACCAGTTTGAATTTAATGACAACTGAATAACTGGACCTTTGATTCTACTCGAAGTAATGTCTATAAATTTCTCACTTTTGGATAAATATATATGAAAATATTTTTTCAAATTTATTTTTGCAAAGTAAACTTCCATTCCTTCAGCTTTAAGTTTGAAGAGTATAATTATTTTGGAGATAACATTGGTATTAATTTATCATTGTTTCATGGATGATCTGTCATGGCTACTACATTACGCTTTAAAGTAATTTTAGTGACTTATAAAAGTAATTTATGTGCTTAGTTCTTTATCGATATTGTGCATAAGGCATTTTTAACACTTTCACATAGTCATTTATAAAGCTTCTACCTAATTTCTTCTAGCACTTAAATTAAAGTGGTTAAAACACATCGACTGCAAATATTTCTCAGAATTTCAAAATTAATTTTTTACACTGTCGTTCAACGTCGTGCAGATCGATTGCTGAATTCACTTAATTATGGATTTAGCCAACTTTTGTTCTAATCAAGTCGCTTTATTATCTAAGCCTATAAATGATATTAAATAATTTCGTTATAGATCTGCATTTGTACACAGCACAATGTTTTATTATATTTCGTGAACTAATATTATTACTGTACAGTGTAATGATTTTCACCTTTTTATTTCTTGAACAAATAATTTATATTCGTAAACTACGGAACAAACTGGTAGATTAGTGAAAGAACAACTGGTCTTTTATTTTTATTTGATGATCATTCAAGTATAAGAAAGTATTTGCATACAAACCATTAAAAGACTCATATGTATAAGACAGACTTAAATACTTTTTATCATCTTCATCAAGTTTTAACATTTATTAAAAAAATTATTACTATTTGCAAGGGTTTTAATTGATGGATACTGGTTCCCAGTCTCATCATTAACATCAACATTGGGGTGTGAATATACTTACAGTTGATGAGTTATAAGTAAAATTAAACACACGAGTAACTAGTATCAAAAATATGTGGTCCAGCTGAGATGATTTTAATATTTTAGAGATATGTGTACGTGTTGTTCATTTGCTTAGTTTAAATATCATTCAAAATGATTTCATTTTTCTGTTTCGTTATATGAAAATTTATTGACTTACTGATTCGTTGGTGTAACGTTTGGACTATTGGATTTTCCTCTCCAATTTTAACTAGATATTAAAAAGTACATTAATTTTACGTTGGCAAAAAGAATAAAGGCACTATATTAGTGTGAAGTGAGAATTATTACAGGCAGATGGCATACTATACTAAAACAATTCAAGTCCCATATAATCACGACTAAACTTTATTTCTTCTCTTGCGTTTATTATGTACTGGGCTATTTCTTGTCTTATGGTTTCAAAATAGCGCTCCATATAACATACTAATTTAGAGAAATAGTTGTATTTAATGTATGTGTTTTAGTAAACAGTTGATAACAGGTAGTTGTCACAATTGATTGATCACTGGGTGGTGATCAATGTCATGTGTGTCAAATCTTTATTAGTTCAGATATAATGCAATCGACCAAGTTGCAATGTGGCCACCAGTCTAGGTGACTCGACATTGCGTGCACTATATTGAGATTGGTTGGTGGTTGGAGGTAGTCAACAGGAAACCTTGGGCCCGGGTTTTTTGCTACTTGGCGCTCGTCACTGGAAACCCGGGTCCAGGGTTTCCTGTTGACTACCTACAACCACCATCTAACGGGTAGTTGTATCAGAATAATCATATAATCTAATAGCGTAGTTTTTCAGTGTCACGATATTTATTAAAAATATCCATTCGAAGTATCCACAAATTTCAGTCACTGTCTAAATACAATAAAATAGTAAGGAATAAAATGACAAGGTTTCAAAATTGTGTAATGATTGAGATATAACTATGGACAATGGCCTGTGTTGGGAACACCATATGACAAATAGTATTATTTTACTATGAGCTGTATCAAATGCCTAAATTAATGGGCCATTAGAATCAGATACAATGATCGACCGTCACTCTTTTCTCCTATGCAATGGTTTGAAGATTTTTGAACTTTGTATTAAAATCTGGTTGACGATTGAAAGCTAATTAATTATTTTCATACTTTAATATATGTATGTAAATTGTTTTTGTAAAATCTGCAGACCATAGATGATTCTGAACTAGCAATTAATACAATACAGCAACAATGTTTGAACACTGAAAGCTATTCTGGACCTATATGGAATATGAAGTCAGAAATTTGTGATGAAATAACTAATACTGGAGGGAATGATACACCAATGATACATAACAAGTTAAAAAAATTATCAGCTGAAGAGGTAACGATCAAGGAAGATAATTATACTGAACATGTTGTGCAGACAGAACCAATGTCATTTAGAAGTTCTTTATCTGTTTTTATAGTACCAACAGAATCCTGTGCAAATGATACGCTAAATGAAGCAACAAACTGACAGGAAGTATATACACATTTAAAAAAATTATCTCACAAAAAAGGTGACATTCCTTATTTTTATCAACTAGATTGTATAGTAATAACAAACACCAAGAAAGACTTTACACTATGTTCACTCCTATGATAAAGATTTCTGCTTCATTTTTATAACTGACTTAATTTATATTTATTATTTGTGATTCAGATTTCTGTATAAATCTTCTAGATTGATAGCTGGGAGAAAATTTAGTATTTTCCTAATCATTGTACAACTTCACTCTCAATTTTAACGATTTTGTTCAATTACTAAAAAAGGTAACCACTAATGGATGATTGATTTTGATTATAACTAGGCGACAATAAGGAAAATTGATAAAGATAAAAGTTAACATTAATTGTGTTGTTGGTCGTATTGTTTTCCGATAAACAAAAGCTTATTTAATGAAAATCCAAATAAAACGTAACCAGTCTTTCAGCCATAAAAACAATTAATTTTGATAGCCAATGTACAACTGAGTAGATGTTATCATTCGGAGATTTTGCAATATTTTCTTTAAATAAAAAAAAGTAACAAGCGTAACCTGATTTTTAAATGGTTAGCTAATATCTTACAACCCTATAAAAATCATATCAATAGATACAACTCTCTTGATTCCTTTACTTTGTCGACTCAATTGAAAATATTAATTTAAATGGTAGGAAAATTATCTTATTGGATGTCACTTCTCTTTTTACAAATGTTTATCTCACAGAAACTATATGTTTTTTGTGTGACTATATTGAAAATAATAATATCCCAAAACATTATTCAAAAGAGCTACTTCTACGATATACTCTCAACGTGCAATTTAGATTTATTGATGATTTTTATAGACAAACAGATGTAGTTGCAATGGATTCTCGATTGGGTCCACTCTCGGCTCATTGTTTCATTGCCAATCTTGAAAATACGGTACTTTGACCAATAAATGAGGAGTTTCATTTATATTAGAGATATATGGACGATACTTTCATTATTTGTGAAGATATGGACCTCAATACAATTTTAAATGGTTTCAATAATTGTCACCCCTCAATTCAGTTCACTTTGGAAACAGTGGAAAACAAGGAATTTCATTTTCTTGGTGTCCGATTAAAAAGGAGGCCAGATGGTTTTCTACAGAGATCTATATATAGAAGACCAATCTGAAATGGGCAGTACATGAATTTTCATAGCTGGGTCCCACTGAGTAAAAAGAGGGACCTTATTCACTCTTTATCCTCAAGGATCAGAAGAATATGTTCTACTGACACAATTGATGAGGAACTACTCCAACTTCGACAGACTCTCATTAGAAATGGTTATCCACCTAGATTTGGCGATAGTAACTTAACAACTAAACATCATCCGAAAAAAGTACCAGCAGTACAAATGAAAACTGTTTTTGTGAATATGGAATTCAATGGGGATACGGCTGCTGAAATCATAAATAAACGGATTTCAAAATCCTTTAATAAAACATTCAACTCAACTAAGCTCCGAATTATTTTCTCAAGCCGGCCTTCCATTCATGGATGTATTAAGGATAAACTCTCGCTTTGGGCCACATCAATGTGCATCTATAAATTTACGTGCTCATGTGGAGCAGCTTACACTGATCAGCTGATAATTATCTGACCCGTAAATTATTTTCATCCTTAGATTCTTTTCTTACCCCTTGATTATTGCTTTACCTCATTTGATAACAAGAGTTTCGAATCACTTTATGATGTAATCTTTTCTATCCTATTATGGACATATATTTTCCATATAACTATAAATACGAATGTACAACTTAAGTAAATTATTTCATCGAAAAGAAAACTTTCTTCGCTGAATTCTCTTTATTTTTACTCAATAACATGTAAAATTTAAAAAATAACAAGTTTTACTCTTTTATTTAAAAAAAATAAGGAAATTGTTGGATAGATGAAAAGTTTCAATAGAAGTTAATATAAAAACTAATCAGAAAGAATTTCTGACACCACAGTTCCCAAATATTATAAAATCATTTTGGAATTTTCTGTATTTAATTCCATAAAATTCTGCTCTCTTCTTTTCGATTACTTGTTATCGTTGAGTATTTGCAGTGTAACACGTTTATTAATCCAGTATGCTTTCCTACGAGTACTGCTGAAGTAATAATAATGGACCAATGATGTAAAAGATTTCTATATCATCACTTATTTTAAAACATATGAAGTGGTTTCATTTTAAAAACTATAAAGTGTTATGAAGTATGAGAAAAAGATTGATTCAATAGAAGATCAGGATTTCTAGAGAGTTGTTAAGCAAGAACACATACTTATGAAAAGATTTTATATTTGTTTCGTTATACAGTAAATCATTTACAAGATGAATAACTTTGTTAGTTTTTCTAGGGATTAAATACAATCACAAATTAGTTGAAAGGTATCTATGAACGTATAACAGCTTGGATCCATACCTGAAAATCTTATTCATCTAATTTTTGTTTTACTGTAGGTTGAAGAAAAGTATTTCGTACTGACGACCATTTCCAAAATTTCGAAATACATTTTTAGAAGCTATCATTTGATCACCTACATTATTAGTGAAAATGACCCGATGAAAAGACAGGGGATATTTCCTTGCTTAATGAGAGAGACCTTTTCATCAAAATAAACACTAAATTGAAATATTAGACTGATGAAGTTTCAGTATGACTTGTTTATTTCTCTATCGATGTTGATCTGTAACGACCTTCTGATTCATTCGATTCTCAAAATATATAGTTGGTTTTCAAAACATTTACTCTGACAATCACAAATGAATAATTGATTCTCTTGACTCCTTATGGTTTGAAGTGCGCCGTATACCTTCTAGAAAGTTGTCTTCTATAACATTTAGGGCTCAAAGTGAGAAGTGTGCCTGTTTTATTTGTTAAATTTAGTCTCACATACAAATATCACGGTGGCAAAGCATTCAAGATAACCTCTTGTCGACTGCTTACTTTGAGGTCACATTAATTTATGAAAATCAACATAAATAATTAACAAGGGAGCATTTGAAGTAATTTCTTCATCTGAAACCGGGTTACTAGGTTTTTCAGATAACCTAAGGTGACGATATATATTTTGATATAACAGAAAGCGCAAAATCTTTTATCTGTTTTAAAAGTAGTTGTTGGTTATTCCAGATAATACTGCTTGCTAGTATACCTTAAGTTAACAACACATAAACAAGTGGATAAAAGTGAACAAATCCATTGCACATATTGAGATTTAAACTATCGATAAAATTCTATTACTTGATCATTCACTAGAGCTATACGATAATTTAATCTAAGATCATTCAAAGCGATTATCTTTCGTTTCAATAACTTAGTTATTGTGTCCAAATGGCCTCTGGCTTATACAATGGGGTGAGTTTAAATTCACCTGTATTGGTTGTTTAATTCTTCCAATGGAAGTCAACGCCTGTCTGAATTCAGAAGCTAGGTGGATAACACAAAGGCATTTGAAGCTAACAGTATCGGGTTCAAGTCCAAGAGTGAACATAAACACCGGGATGGAGGCACATTCAGGTGACGAGCCCCAAGTGAGACGAAACGCGTGTCTTAGATTTCCCTGGTGGCTGCTACTTATCTCTGTTTAAAATGCTTGTAACTTAATGGTAATATTGAGGCAGTCCATACAGTATACACATATTTCTAAAGAAACTGGTCAATCGCAGTCCTAAATATAAATGGGAAGATCTAAACAACCAATAAAAATGAATAATCACTTTAACCGATGATAAGAGGTACTTGGAATACAAGTTATAAAATACTACCTGCACTTATGTTAGTTAGTCATTGGTTAGTTTTATTGATTTTAGGATTACAAAACATTATTAAATTATCATTTTATCAAAATGAAATTATATACAGTGCATTGTTTGTTCAGTACAAAGTATACTAGATCGCCCAATACCACATTCAGGTTCATTTTGTGCAGTCGAAACTTATAACAAGAATATTTTGTCTTTCAGACAGCTAGTTTTTTTGATACGATAAACGTATAGCGCACCAATAATGACCGTCTGTCTTCGCTACACCATGAATTATCCAAAACAGTTCTAATTAATTTAATTTATTGATTGCTTGGTTAACATTTATAATGTCAAGGTAAAAAGTCAGAGTATTTACATTGAAAAGTACTAGGGAATAAGATTCATTGCTTATTTAGGTAATATCAATTTATGAAGAAAGTTGTACTTATCAAAAACAGTTAGTACAAACTATCGAATAGGTTAGCTTCATCTATAAAAAATAAATAAATATATTGACCTACCTTTTAAGGTCAAATCGTTGTTGTGGAAGAAACCAAAATTTTGCTTCCATTCGTTAAGTAAAAAAGGGATATAAATCACTTCGGAAATAAACATACTTTGAGGATAACTTTTTTTTTACTTACTAAGACGAGATGAAGGACTGTTAAAAAATTAGTAAACGTTAGAAAGTTTCGTTTCATTGTTATGACTCTCCGATCTTGTGTTGCCACGATCACAACAGATATCACATTTGATCTCCAGACAGTGTGCTATGGAAGGCATCTTTAAATCACTTATTTGGAATCCCCATAAAATCAGGAATATTCTGTGACTCAGTTGTTGTTAACAGTGACACCTATAACGATTCAGATTTGGCTGAAATTAACCTCCTGTGGCTTTTCCTTATGTTTCCCAGAGAAAGCAACCTTAATAATCTACTTAGTTTAACAGGCTGTTTTGAGTTAGAATAATGTATATGAAAAATTAACAATTTCGGATTCTGAGAAAAGACATGTACGTGCCAAAACAAATGCATAGGAAGAACCAAGAGAAGAGTACATGTTCACATTTCGAAGTATGTTCCGAAGAAATTGAGACTGCGAGGAACAAGAGCTCTTAAGAATGCAATAGCTCGGCATTTACTTGACACCGGGCATACCATTGACATTCCTCATGTTTTTACAATTATTAGAAAACAAATATTGTTTCTCTCCGTTTTGCTGAAGCGATCGCGATAAAAACTCAAACATGATCTAAGTATTCAAAAAGAGACAGTAATAAACTTATTACTACCCTAGTAATTCAGTTTTGCTCATTAG